GCATGCATTTAATATCTCATAAGCATCATGACTTTACATTGTGTATCTTCCAGTTATGTAAAAATTTATTATCGTAAACTGTTGATGAAGAATTCAATTCTTCATCACGATCAATTTTTAATTATTCTCAATTTTGTTATTCATTGGGAATATGAAGTATTGTTCGGCGTATACCATTATTTTGAATCAGCTAAATTTAAATGCATCTTTAAATTTCAATTCATCATATGTATTTTTCCATTTTTATTACTATTTAATATCTTTCATTACAATTTTAAAATGCATCTCATTATTTTAATTCATAACAAAGAAACTCATCTCAACAACGTTAATCTTTTTCTGTCTCTAATATCAGAATTTGATCACGATTTTCTAGGTAATACATCGATGAAATCTTTGCATTTAATATCTCAAAAGCTTCATGACTCTACATTGTGTATCCTCCATTTATGTAAAAAATGTATTTCGTAAACTGTTGTTGTGCACCCAAACAGCCGAAAAAAGATATGACTCGCCTAATTCATATTTAATACATTCTTCATTATGGACCTAATGTCATATTTTTATCATGTATAGCATGCATTAAAGATCTCATATTTAGAATGAGAGCCATATTAGCCAATATTTTTACCATTAATATGAATGCATTATAGATCTCAAGGTTAGGATGACAGCCATATTAGCCAACATTTTTACCATGCTTAAGCATGCTTTATAGATATCATAGTTAGGACGAGAGCCATATTGACCAATATTTTTACCATGCATAAGCATGCATTATAGATATCATAGTTAGGACGAGAGCCATATTGACCAATATTTTTACCATGAATAAGCAGGCATTATAGATCCCAAAGTTAGGACGAGAGCCATATTGACCAACAGGCTCGTCAATTAACTGCAATAATTGAGCCGTGACATCAGAATGCCTGATGACCCCGCCAGAAGAAAGGAAGCTCGAAGAGCTCATTAATAGTCTGCTTTATTGGCTTAAACAATATTGGATTTTAGGGCCCGTTGTGGCAAACGTCGCTGTACAAAGGATACGGAATGAACAGGAATTTCATAGTGATTTATGAGATTTTTCTGTTCTCACAGCAAACTTTCTCAATTCAATGAACGAAAACCAGGCTATCAATTATTCAGAAATTCAAATAGAAAAGTTCAAGATTTTAAAATTTGATGTAGTAAAATATAAATATCTTAGTCATTTAAACCTATTTTTAACACATTTTTTAAAATGAATATTACGATTGGAAACTGTAAATTCAGAATTTCAAAAAAATAATAAAATTTTAAATGGAACATGATTAGATAAAACATATTGAAACTGACTTTGATGTACGTGCATCATTAGGCGTACGAACTTCTCATGTTACTAAACATTCCGAAAAATTATAATTTAAATCTTTACATCATATGTGGAATAAATATAAATAAAGATTCGTCTATTCGTTCAGTGTGCATTCAAGGTTACCATCACAATTAAAACGAATGTTAATAGCAAATGCTCTTATCACTTGAAATTCAGTAGGAATTAATTTGTTTACTGAATTGACACAAATCCCTTTATTCAACTTTCTGTCAATTTTCTCGAGCTTTTCTTGCATAAAATAAGAAATTTCGTTTTGAAACTTACCAAAATCCGTACGATATATGCATTCATTATCCGTGAGATTTTATCACTATGGAAATAAACCTCAAATTGCCAACTGTTTAAGTAAAGAATGTCCATAAGTAAAATTGAGCGTAAAAATTTTTTATGTATGAAATGATTAAATTTCCTTTTTATGTTTATATTAATATCGCAGCCGAGCAGATACCTAAATACCATTTCTTTCGGTGTCTCGTGAAGGGGACGAAATTAGCTAATTATGTTAAATGCAAATAAGTATAAAATTATAATATAAATAAAAACAATAATATAATACAATATAATTCGTGAAAAGGCTCTCAGGTGAATAACTTTCATATAAGTTTCCACAGGGCCTGGCTCCAATCAAGAAAGAAAAATTAAACTCAAACCTACGGATTTTTTAAACACGTTTTATCGCCTTCAAAAATATCTATTCTTAAGTTCAATTCTATATCAAATGTCTTCAGGCTAAAGCTGGATTATTTTCTAAAATTTGCTCTAATCTCTTTTTGGTTACGTGACGGGGACTTTAAATCATATTATATCAACATTGCCCCTGCCAATAAAACTTTTCCAGGCGAACAATTGAACAATGGACGAAAATGATTTTTTTTTTCAAATATTCGTTTAATCTGTCATGTCCTAATATCATATACTTTAATTACGGCAGCAGGAATTGTCGCCCTCTAAATTGCTAAAACTAGGTCGCGCATGCTTATATAAGGCAGAAAATCATCCCTCGCTTTCTATTTCGTATCAATACCTTAACTTCAATTTCATGCCTACCTCGAAAGTGGTCAAACCTTACATTTAAGTATAATAAATTATATTTTTTAAAATTAAGTTGTATTTAATCGATTTAAATAAATTTAAATAAATTAAATAAATATTTAAATCGAAACCTCTCAATGCTAAACATAATTCGCTCTCTATAACCGTTAAAACTATCCCTATTAACCGTGATTGTTATAATATTTTTACCGCGGGGCGCCGGTGCTATTTTTTTAACCGGTCATTCTGTGATCTTCTCGCATCCCACTAATTTTATTGTTTAAATGTCAGTAATTTTGCAACATAAATAATACTGCAATGGCGATAGCAAATCTGTATAGTGGCGCAGAAAGTATCCAGCGATCGTAAGGGTAAGTTGATGCGCGTAAGAGCTCGTTCCAGTGTGTCTCAAATTTATGTGCTGCCGTTGAACTTGTGGATTATTGAACAAATGGTCGGGCCATATACTTTTGTCGAGATTGTAAAACACTTTTTCACCCAAAGTACGAGCAGTCAAGTAGCACTGATACGCCTGTAACAGGACAAAGCGGGTTAGAATGACCTATACATGAGCAAAAGGTGCATCGCTAGTTGGACCAACTTATATCACTGAGTGATGAAATATTATAGAATTAATGCCCGATATCATGCGTCCGCTAACCGAAGATCAGGTAGTTAGAAAAACTTCAAAGTCATAGGCGATGAACATGAACGTGTGGTTATTATGAGCGTTGAAGACCCATTAATAACGGATGAATATTCAAGGTCCTTTTGCGAAAAAAAAAACGATTAAAATGTTTATGAATATCCTCAATATTTCGGAATGCGTGTTAGGCGTGACCAGTTAATTGGCTACTTCCGTACTGACCCACGGTCGTCGTAAACTTGCAGGTTCGTTAGGTTGGGCTGAACCCAGGTTCGGTATCTGAGACTGAATCCAGGTTCGACATGTGGGACTCAACCCAGGTTCGAAATGTCGAGCTGAACCCAGGTTGATGCGTGTGGGACCGAACCCGGGTTCGGCATGTGGGACCCATGCAGGTTCGGTACGTGGGAAAGGCAGTTTTGGTGAACAGTGAAACCTGATTAAGATGTTGAAGATAAATTATGATTGCTACAATTTTTCAGTAGCCATCTATTCACGAGCAGTTTTAAACGACACTTTATGTTTTGGTGGCTTATTAATACCTGCTGCTTCGTATTCAAAGTGAGATATCTGTGAGATTCTCGATGTTTCACTTAATTTTGCTCAGTGCTGCTCTGAAGTTACTTAATAATTTCGTCGTCTCCAATGTTCAAATTTGTTAAAATTTCATATTCCGAACTCAATTTACTAAAAGATTTCTAATAGTTTATTAAAGATTATTTGCGTACGATCCCGGACCATGCCTGAATTTTATAATGATGGCTGACTTTTATCATGTCTGTTAATGCTTCTGCCAAATTTCTTGCTATCAGTGAAGTAAATGAAGGATTGTTATTGTTTGAATGGGAAGTAATCGGTTGTTGTCCGTGAGTGAAAGGCCCAGCAGGTAACTTGGAGCTAAATAAACCATCAGATGATCGACAATAGTATTGATGGAGCGTATTAAAATAGCCTACTTTATATTAAATTTAATTATTGGTCCTTATTTATGCATAGTTTAAATTGCATATCGTTTCCGAAGTATTTATAAATATATATTTATTCACTGTAAATTTGACCTTTCGAGTGATGTAAATCTGTTCTTGGCTATGTTGCATTGTTTTTTGTTGCATTGAGATTTAATTTCTTTTGATAGTATTTTTGAATACTATGCGTCTCTATACATAATTTAAATCACTTTTCCTGTTAAGTTTGTGTACTTACATACATTAAAACACGATTTTTCAAGTGTACGAATATTTATTTCCCCCCACTGTATAGTATCGATGGAGCGTATTAATAGCCTGCTTTAGATTAAATTCAATGATTGGTCCTTATTTATATATAGTTTAAATTGCATATAGGTTCCGAGGTATTTATAAATATATATTTATTCACTGTAAATTTGACCTGTCGAGTGATGTAAATCTGTTCTTGGCTCGACTGGCAGCTTTTATGATGCAATTAACGAAGTTGAATAATCGAATTCTCAACGGTTGACTTTACTCCACGCCGCACTACTTTAAGGAACGGATTCCAGCAACAATTATATCTTGTCACGCCACGATAATCTCCCTCTGCAGTTCGGTCATTAAGCTACCTGCCCTATAATCGTTAATTGTTCGCCTCCAGATAACCCACATTAGGCAGAGGAAACGATACACTGCAGAGGGACCGTCGCAATGTTTGAACTCTACATGCAATTACAGCGAAACTTTCACGACATTCCAGCTCAAACTATAAAACCTCCCTCGAGCTTCAAATTTGCGTTCATTACACGGATTAAAGAAGGGTCTGACACGTGACGATCACGGCGGGAATTGGACAAACTTCGCACACCTCACAAGTGGAATCTTTGCATGCAATTCTTCATACAAGATCGCCAACGCACACACATTTATGAGGAGTTTTACTGGAGCTTTCAGACTTGGTGGTGAGGTTCTGGCCGCCACGTAACTCGTGGGCCTCATGTCCATCTCGGTCACGACTGCCTCACGCGACCAGGCTGGAAAAGAAGGCAACTTCAACGTATATCTCACGGCGTTGTTGGGCTTTACCGCGCACGGCGCACGGGCGCAGTTCTTGTCGTGGTCGATGGCTTGGGAACGCGAAGTTATGGCGCAGAGTGACGCACTCAAAGAAGTGAGTGAGACTTTGTCCACAGAGCGATGCACTTTTTGCCCTTGTGTGAGTGTTTCTGACCCAGTTTGGCCGGTAAAAAGGCGTATCAGAGCTACGTCTGCGCTCTGCTCCTGCTATGGGTGATAAAGAATCAGTATTTGGACAATATTATCCATCTATTTTTCTGCGTGCACGCCGGCCGCCACATCGTGCATTATTTTCTGCCATTTATTGTGTATCAGCTTCCTTTTGCCAGCAATAGCCATAAGTGTTCCTCAATTGATTTTTGCATTAAACGTGACATAACGCCCTAGGATTTTAGTATTAATTTATACAGCTCTGGCATTTTTGTAAATATTTTTATTATGCTTCTGAGCGTTTTGCATGATTCCAAGATCTCCTGCGTTCGCGTTCACATCGAGAGAAATATATTTTTTGGTGTTTTTAATGCTTTACAAATTTATTGTAAGGAGCTCACCATAAAAATAATCACTACCTCAAGTTATCCTATTCAATTTCCGTTCCCCATTGAATTAGAATTCATGGACAAGACAGGGCAATGTTAGAATAATTGAGGGACTGCTTAATTTTATTCAAGTTAGTGATAAAGTCAAGTGATGGTGCGCGTGATCATTCAGGTGATCAATCGGGTGATCATCAAGTAATAGTGATCAATATAGTGCCATCCGTCATTTTGGCACCAGAGAGTCCATATGAACATCGCAAATGCCGCAGTTAACTGAAAATCAGCATTACAACACGCAGCAATTTAGCCAATTGTTGAAGGCGGTAGAGTGAAAAGCAACCGCAACGTGTGTATTCGGATGAGCTTATGGTTCGAACGCGCGGGCCATCGATCGCGACGGACCAAAGGTTTTCAGTAAAAACATGCGAAGTTTCCTTCATTGAAGTTTTTCAATAAAAGAACAAAATATTCGTCCATTATAAAATAAATTTTTTCATTATTTACAGCATTTTTTTCAGTTTACAATTTTTTTTTATAATTTTAATATCATCTAAATAAGCGAGAAAGAAATTTAAATGCATCCACACGGCAATCGTGAACCGCGCAGCGCATTCGCTTTGATTAATTTTCGGTATACAAGATGTTAAATATTTCTGACATGTTTATTTTAGGAACAATCGAACGTTAATTTAGTTCCTGATACACTCATATGAGCAGAAATAAAATATTCATTTTGAATGATATTAACATTAGATTCGAAAATATATATTAATCGTGCCAGACATATTTATTTGGGAAAAATATTATTTTGCTTTCCTCCTTTTTTTCTCCGGATGTATAAAACCTAGAATATGAGGATAAATCTAACAATAACAGTGTCTTAGTCTGTATAATATAATTTAATATAACATAATATAATATAGTATAATATAATATAAAATAATGTAATATATTATAATGAAATATATATTACTATGAATAATAGGTTTCATAAAACTCCATAGCAGTAATAGAAAGGGAACATTTGTTTGGATAAGAAACTGTTCTTTTTCGCACAGCGTTTTAATTTAAGTTTATTGCAGAACCTAATTTCTTTTTCGGGATATAATAAAATGAAAAATGTAAGTTAATATAATTCATAGAATTTACACAAAAAGCTTGTTTAGAAGACATTATGGCATAAAAAATATTAATCGGTATTTAATAAGATTTTTCTATTACAATTTAAGCACTTCATTCGTACATAGAAAGGTGCCCATAAAGTGCATTTTCTGAGTGACCTGCTAGAATTGACTAAATTACAAATTATTTTGGATTTAGCCCTTGCATCTATTAAGTAAATCTGATCTGATGTTCAGATCTAATTTTGTTACCAAATTTCAACAGTTTGTAGTTATTATATTCATCAGTTTTTTGAAAATTTATTCATGCAAATAGAGCAACCTGCATTATTATAAATAACTTGTTAAATCTATAGCATCTCTTTTAAACCTTTCGCTACTCCTTACAGCAGAATATCAATGAAAATGACGAACTCAATCTTATTTCACGGGTAAATAATTAGTTTCTAATAAGCTTCGTATGCAATGCGTGCAACGCTTCGTGCATAAAAAACAAAACTGGAAATAGAGCATCTTGTTTCATTCACTACAGATATAAGAATTCAAAATTGTGAGAGAGTTTATTAACCCTGAAGCTCTCANAATAGGATAGAATTATTCCAATGTTCTATCTTATTCTAAATATCCCGTGCACTTTCTTACGATGCTAAGAAAAAAACTCATTAATAGTACTGATAAAATCGAGGTCGCGAGACTGATCGGTCAAAATTGAACATTGAAGTCATTTTTTAAATAGATTTCAAGGACCCCTAACTTTTAAATTTACAGCTAGAAAAACTACAGGAGTTATATCTTTACTTAGAAAAGAACAATGTGTAGTTTTGCATGGGTTGCATGATCAAGCAATATAATTTATTGCTGCATCTCGGGATATGAACCCATATAATTAAGCAAGTCCTCTCAAATATTGATAACTGCCTTCGAAATCGTAGGTAATTACTCTCACAATTCTAGAAACAATCATCACAATTATGGGCAAGTATCTTACAATATTAAGCAACTGACATCTCAGTTACTGGTAATAATTTTACAACACTTCTCTTTAACTTCACTTCTTGATGTTTGTTTGTTTGTCTACTACAAATCTTATAATCGATATTTAACACACTCCAACCTCTCCAATCGATCTGGAATTTTACGCACTTGCGTAAAGTTGGAGACAATGCATGAATCAACTGACAGAATAAATAATTTGAAAATTTATATTTTATTACATACTAAAAAAATAATTATTTTTTTTATATTTGAAAATAAAATTTGAAATTCATTGTACATGTCTAACATTGGAGACACTGGATCCTTTAGATATGTTGTCTTTAAAGTAAATTTGAAACGCATATTATTATTTTTATCATCTTTTTACAACACTTCTCCTTAACGTCACTTCTTGTTGTGTGCTACAAATCTTATAATCGATATTTAACACACTTCTAATAGTCCAATCGATCTGACATTTTGCACACTCGCATAAAATCAGAGACAACGCTTGAATCAATTGACAGAATAAATAATTTTATAAATTAAAAAATATATATTGTAAAAAATTAGAATTTTTTTTTTAATATTTACAAATAAAATTCGAAATTCATCGTAATTGTGTAAGATAGGAGACAATGGCCTCTTTGAAAGTGTTGTCTTTAAAAATTAGTTTAAAACGCATATTATTTATTATAAACGATAACTATCCCTGAAATTATAGTAACTGTCCTCACAGATATAGATAACTACCCTCACATAAATAGATAACTGCCCTCAGAATTTTGATATTTCGATTCCCTCGATCGGCGAGAATTATGTATATCATGATTCTGACATGTTTCTTTCTCTCGATTTCAATATAGCGACAATAAAATTCTGTATGATTATTCAGCACTGTATGGAAATATATTTTTCTCCCGTTTTAAATTTCGAATGTGTTTATTTTTCATCTCGCCGTACATTAATTATTCGTACTTTTTCTCATATCTTCAAACACTATTACGGGTTAATTTGTGTAAAATTCAACAAATATTTGTTTTATTATAATGGCATAACAATCATGATAATGAAACATGATCAATGGTGATTTAAAAATGAGAAAACTCAATTTACTTCTTTCACGAGCCACCCTACACAGTTAAATTCACCTCCGTCAAAATTGAAGCCATTAACAGAATTTCAAAGAGATTGGCGGCTTTGATGGCCGAGGACGGATTGAGGGAGCANGACGGATACGGGGGCAAGGGCTGCAGGGAAGGGGACTGGGGCTGCGGCGGTCGGATATGAGGACTTGGGCTACTGGGATGGATACGGGACGGAACTGCGGCGACGGAAACGGGGACGGGGCTACAGGGTCTTGGGCTGCAAGGACAGATACGGGGACTTGACTGATGATACGGGCACTTGGGCTGCATGGACAAATATGGGGACTTGTGCTGAGGGGACGGATACGGGGACGGGGCTGCGGATACGGATATAGAGATGGGGGTTACGACGACGCATGGTTGAACTATATAAGCTTGACCCACGAGAAGTTCCGTCTTTCAGTTCAGCTTTTTTGTTACGTCACGTAGATCGAAAAACGTAAACTAACCAGTCATTCGCACGACAGATTGGTTGACTGGTTTGATTGCATTTCGGTGATTGGTTATTGCCCGTGACGTCACTGAGATCAGTGACGTCACAGGCGAACAACGCACTACATCCGCAAAAATGGGCTTCTGATCGGTCAACCTTATACTAGTTTAACCATGACGACGTATGCGGTTACGGGGGCTTCTGTTACGAGTATGTAGTAGCTAGGGATGACAATATTGCCCCTTCTCCCCATCGGATATCAGAGAAATAACAGTCAACTGCAAGCAAGGAATTCGTCCTTGCGATTATTGAAAACCTTGGCTGGAACACGGCAATGGGCAGAACACCGTCGCCAAGCTCTGTATTGACGAATTCTATACCTTGCTTTGTGCATAATTTATGCTTTTTCTCAGAGTGACAGTTTGCGTTCTGAGCGATAACGCTGCATTCATGCTGAGGGACGCATCATAACGCAATACTCTCTGCTTTCATGCAGTGTGACGAATTATAACGCAACGCGTTGAAGGTATCTGTGAATTGACGCATTATAACGCAGCGATACATGCGTTCCTACAGTGCGACCTGTACATAATGCAACGCTATGTATGTATATTCCTGCTAAGTAACACATACATGGCGTCGGGTTAAGTTGATACTTATTCCATCCAACCTCCTGAGACACGCCAGGATCAGGTTTACTAGCCGTGATAAATTTACTAGAACAATTCATTTAACTCAAGAACTATTTTGTAATACGAGTGAAAATTTATTACAAGTAAGCTGGATAAAATCAAAGTATTTAATCCCTAGCAAATTTGCTGTACGCTTTCTGTACTAAATTTTCAAATTAAACTATCACCAAAAATTCAAGTTCTTCATTAATTTTGTTCAGTACCCACTGCGTAAAATATTTTCCCGCATTCAAGATTCATCAGTCTGAGTATCATCAGACATCACAAAACCAACGTCGGTTTTTCAGCCTCTTGCACACAACTCAACAAAAAATAAATCTGTCCTCGGCATCGATTCTTCCGTTTTTGTCTGACCGAGTTTCTGTCGTGGCGGCAACTTGGCTCAACCAAATACATCTTATAGGCGAAAGAAAGTTTAGTCGAAACGAAATAAAGTTTATTGAAGAATACCAGGTATAACGAAAGAAAATCTATCAAATAATACCAGGTATAACGAAAGAAAGTCTATTGAAGAATATCAGGTATAACGAAAGAAAGTTTATTGAAGAATACCAGGTATAACGAAAGAAAGTTTATTGAAGAATATCAGGTATAACGAAAGATAGTCTATTGAAGAATATCAGGTATAACGAAAGATAGTTTATTGAAGAATACCAGCTATAACGAAAGAAAGTTTATTGGATAATACCAGGTATAACGAAAGAAAGTTTATTGAAGAATACCGGGTATAACGAAAGAAAGTTTATTGAAGAATACCAGGTATAACGAAAGAAAGTTTATTGAAGAATACCAGGTATAACGAAAGATAGTTTAACAGCCCGGCGTCGGCCTGATTAATTACGACGGTCTTGTTCTTCCCAAGGCCTTTTAGGGGGAAACAAGAAAGGTCGACTTAAATTAAAAGGATTCGCTGCCTTGTTCTTTCTTTTCTCTTCAGCTGGAAAAACGCAGAGTGAAAACATGCGACACTTTTCATCGTCTGGGGATATTTAATTAAGTTATTTCAGTTAAGGGACAAAATGGGCCTAATTAGATCATTCAAAAAATTATAATGTAAATGATTCCTTACAATCGTACAAAAACAAAAATCGGAAAGCACTCGTTATATTTATTATTTTTATATCATAGTACCTACCTCGCATTCATTTGCAGTTAATTAGCCCTAGCTTTGCTCCATCGTGATCAATTTACTTAATCCTGATGTCCGATGTGTGCATTTATTTTCTTTGAATATTTTCCAAAAATTATTATACTTTTTACCAAAAAATTACTGTTCGCAATCATTGTCTCTGCCTGTTATCATTAAATCTTAGAACTCAATGAAACCTTCTAACCTTGAGTAATGCTTTGTATAAATCACCGAATTGATTGTAGCATTTAATCACTTAATTTGTTCCTTATTTGTTTCTTTCCTCATTATTTACAAACACACTTGATCTTTTTACCCTCCGTACTTGTTACCTTGTAGCTCCTAAACCGAATTATTAGTTTCCTTGTTTTAGTTTCCTTTTTTAAAACCTCAAAACGCATCCAAGTGCTTTAACATGTGTATTTCTCTCTTACTTTGTAACTTCTAAAAATAGATTTAATCATTCTAACCAGCGTATTTATTTTCTTCTCTATAACTTCCCAAAAATACGTATTATCATCCAAAGCACAGTTATTCTTTCCAACTTTGTGCTCGTAGCTTCTTAAAATAAATTTAAATATTCTAACTTCTGAATTTTTCCCTACTCTGTATCTTCTAAAAATAGATAAATCATTCCAATCTCAGTTCTAACTTTTGAATTTTTCCCTACTCTGTATCTTCTAAAAATAGATAAATCATTCAAATCTCAGTTCTAACTTTTGAATTTTTCCCTACTCTGTATCTTCTAAAAATAGCTAAATCATTCATATCTCAAGAATTGATGTCACTTATTTGCTTAAATCGCAAGTTAACCAAAAATTTAAAAGCAAGGATTAAACCACAAATGTTCATATCTTTATGGAAAACGTTTCGGAGTCCAGCTCCATCGTCAGTTCGTAGAATCTATAATTTACATAGAAAGTCACAAATTAGTACAATTGAAAGCACAAAAAACACAATTAAAAACCTAAACTTACAAGTACCAGGGCACAAAACCTATCTATTCACAATTTCAAGAGGATAGGAGCTACCAGCTGAATTTAAACTGGGCCTAAGTTTAAAAATGTACAATGATTCTAAAATACGCAAATCTGAAGTACCGGAGGTGGAAGCTAACACTCTAAAGTCACTGTCAGAAACAGGGACACCACACTGCTCGGCGTGAGTGCGCACAGCCGAATGAGGGGGGCGCGATAGTAA